AACCCTCAAGGGCTGTAATTTTTTCTCTGAACCTGGGAGTTCTCATAATTTTTTAAACTTGACGCTTCTCAGAAATTTCTTCTCCAAGCATCGCACTTTGATTCACCAGATCAGAGAATCTGGCATAGTATATGTCAATTGTTTCTTCATCCCGCATTCTGATTTCATCAAATTAAAGAGTCACCCGTTGAAGTCTGGATGCTTTGACAGCCGTTGAACCTTCAAATTGACGTTGTAAGACCCGCCAAGCATCTTTTGCTGTCTTGCATTGAGCTATCATCTTGTGTCTTGTCTGATCCACTACCATCATAATCTCGTACAAGGCAAGATAGTTGGCTTCTTCTTGAAGCTTCTCAGCATCTGTCCAGCTCTCTTTAGGTTTAGAAACCGTAGCTGTCGTAGCTCCTTTTCCTTGATCAGGTGCTTGTGCCACGACTGGATGCACCCATCCGTTTTCAACACTTTCCCACACACCTTTTCCAAGCGATCTTAAGAAGATCATCATCATAGACTTCCAATACGAGTAATTGGAACCGTCCAATTATGGAGGCTTAGACATCGATCCACTTTCTTGATTCATGATTTCCCAGTAACACAAGTCCTTAGGTCTTACGTAATGTAAAAGAAAACCCGCTCTGGTGCCAATTGAAGTTTGATACTTGAACACCAAGTATCCAGAGTTGCTTGAAAATAAACAGAACAAATAAAACGAAGATTTCAATAATTGCGGAAGCAGTTTGCACTTAAAATTGAACCTTCAGGAGAGCATCTCACTCTCCCTTCAGATTTGTTTCATTAATGTGAACAACACACACACACACTCTCCAAGGGTTTGCAGTATAGACTCCCTCTAACTACTAACAGTGATTCACACAACTACTTATCTGACCACAACTCCCTTGTGGATTTTCTAGTTCGTATCCCTCAAACTATTTCAAAATGAACCTCCAAACACTCTGATGTAAACTCACTCAAGGTAAAAGTATATCGACTCTCGCTCACTATTCTCAAAGCAATAAAAATTACATCAAAGAATAAAATCCAAGCTTCAAAACTACTCCTCAACATCAGTCTCGTCCTCCATTTATCCTAGAGCTTCATTTGGAAGGTCTTCTTTTTATCTTTGCGTCCAAGTTAAACATTCACAAGGAAAGTCTTGATATTTATAACCGCGATCTCTCACTTGCGATTAAGGAAGGTGAATCACAATTTAATTCCCATTTACCTGCCATAATGAAACACTTATTAGTAATCAATAATAATAAATAAAAATACTTCCATTCAAATTAATACAAACTTCCCTTAGATATTCTCGCGTATTTATGAAACCTGTGAACACCAGAAGGTTCATCGATTTACTGCCAATCTTCAGAACTTACATGCCTCATTTAATTAAATTGCTTTGTTCTTGTATTATCATGTGATTGATTCGATTTTTATGTCATGTGTTTAGCATGGTTGAATTAATTTTTTTTAATTAGTCGAGTCATTTGATAAGATCGGTTCAATCGCGTAGATTTATTTTTGATCTGCCTCAACCCATTTGCTGATAACTTCCAGACCAAATGGAATATAAAAAATTTCAGCCCTTTTAGAGTTGATCCTTAGACCTTTATGTTAAGCTAAAATATCGTGCGTTCAGTTTTCCTGTTACCCGACAGCATGAGTTTAATTAATGTTTGACCTGTTTATTGTGTCATAGTGTGATCAAATGAATTTGTGACCTTCATGAAAGTTACAGGTTTACTTCTTAGATTTCTGATGAGGTAAGTTTCATGCGTATGTGATATCTGTAGCTCGAGTTGTGTTCATATGAATGTAGATATGCATGAAGTAGGGTTTTGTACTTTGGCAGATTTTATGAATCCAATGTTTTGTGTCTAAACTCATTGATAATGTCATTATTTTCCAATGTGATCTTCAACAAAGTTGTAGATATTTGAGTTGTCTGTCATGTGTTTTTTTGAATTTCATTAAAAACATGTTTGTACCTCCAGTTATCTAGCAATTACTGAAGTCCGGTCAGTTGCATATTCCCAGTTTTTGACTGCTTCTTTGTAATGAATGCTTGCTGAATTATCACCTGCTAAATGACCTTATTTGTTTTCGATGTCTTCATAAGTATTGTAGAGACATGTCTTATGGTTCAAATTCAACTTAAATCATGTTCATATGAATAATATGCTAAAAATTATGGTGATTTAAAAAACGCTGCTCGGGTTAAGTTTTGAGAAAACTTGCGTGGTCTTTTCGGAAATGGGATTTCCTTGATTAAATGCATGCTTAAATGCTTATGTGAGCTTAGTTGAACTACGTGATTGTTATGATTAGTTGTCTATGTGTTGAATAGTCATGTATAGACTATTTTATTAAATGTAGGTGCTTGACGAGCCGAGCTTGCCGCATGCACATATTTGTCATATCTCTCGCTTTTTACTAGGTGGGTACATTTACGTTGTATCTATAATTATCGCACTCGTTATTTCGTATAAATGTTCGTTTCGATAGCTATTGTATGCGTGAGAACCCTAGTCTCGTGTCCCGTTGATAGTGCCTTTGATGAATGCATAAGCAGTAAGAGGTCACCTGCCCGTTGTATCCCGGAGGAGGACGCCCCGAACCGTTGTATACGGGGGAAGGGGGAGGGGTGGAGGGGGGAAACAACTCCACTGTCTCCTGGAAAGAACATCTTAGCCCGTGTTGAGCTGGGATGGGAAGGTTTTCGGTTACTCCTTACCGATGTCTAATCGGAAGGTTGTTGTATGTACATAGGAGGTTTGCGATAGGGCCGTGTAGGGAGTTAGAGCTTGAATTCTATGCATACTTTATTTATGGTTTTGAATCTTTATGCGAGATATAATGTGCGGTAATGGTGAGCACGATGGTTTTGCTCACCCCCATTGTTTTCCCTCTTTGTCTCCTCTTCCTTTTTTTAGGTTGAGCATGGCTGGCGGCAGCGGCGAGAAGACGATCGAGTGGTCGTCATTTGATGTTGTATTATTAGTGTCTTTGCTTCCACCTATTGTTATTCATTTCGAACTACTTGTTTTTATTATGGATATTTTCCGCTTCCGTTTGAATATTATGTTTATGTTTGGATCATGTGAAACTTTTTGGTTGGTTTTGAAACTTATGGATATTTGGTTTAAGTTTTATTAGTTATGCATGTGTAGCTTCATTTTACTTGTATGTATTTGTTTAATTGTTGTTGGTAGTTAAGTAGCTCCCGTTGATAATCAAAGTTTTAAATTGTGATTTTGTGAAAAATTAACTCTGGTTTTTATAAATAAATTCGGTAAATTCTTTAAAATAAAACGGGGGCATTACATAATGACTATCAAAATACCATGTTAGTAAGAATATTTATAATAACTGGTACTTTCATGCAATTAAATTTTGACTATTAAATAATATTTACTATTTTTTTACGCAGGCTAATATACAGATATTTTAGAACATATAACATATGCTTATAGATAACATATAACATTTTCTTTTACATATATTTTTCAAGAAAGTGAGAACATTTTCCATTGATGATTCCAGAGTTGCAGAAGCAAGGATAGAGCTCACCACCTGTATTCTCTGGTGGCTCTGGAAATCAAGAAACCTCTGGGTGTTTGAATCCATATGGAGGCCGGACAGAAACATTGTCTCAGGAGCCTTGAAGGAATGGCAAGAGGTTTTGGCTAGGTGGAAATGAAGCAGACAGTTCAAGATTTCTCTCTAGGTCTACTTAGTAGTTCAGTGGTTAGATTCTTGATTGTCATTAGATCATTCTCATTTGATTGTTCTCCATTGAAGCGCTCGACTCGAGGCTGCCTTTGATGTTATTTTTGTTTTTAGTTTAGCCTACTTTGTGAGTAGTGCTCTCTGGCGTTGCCTTCGGTTTAGGGCTTGTACCATTTGTATTGAACTCCTTTTTATTTTATGAGAATTCCTATCGTTTATGGGAAAAAAAAGTGATTAATTTTTATATGGTTTGAATCACTTCAAAATGATAAGCAATTCTATCTGTTTTCAAGAAGTGTAGTTCTTATGCAGACAATATGAGTGATATCAGCCATAATAGTAACATATTAATAAAACCTAACATCTAATTTACAAAATTAAGACTATGAGAGATATCTATCACCCCTAATAGTAGCATAGGCGTGGCCAATTTAGAACATTAATTTATCATTCACGTAAACTTTTATTTTGAGAAATTCCATGTTCTAGTTTTATCTAGATTAAATTGTTTTCGTTTGGAATTTTAAAATGCATTTTAAAATTTTTTAAAATTGAGACTTTTTTACATTTTCAGATATAAGAGGAATCTTTGAAGATTTTAAATTGTTGGGGTGAAATATCGTATAAGTTTTTAATTTATAAAACCTCAGCAAATTTTAAAACGTTTAAGAGAATGTGTTCGTTTAGAATTTTAATAGACATTTTAAGACATTATTAAATTTGACGTTTTTTAAGATCTGAAGATTTAAAAGAAATATTTGGAGATCTTAAGCTTTCGGTGAGACTTGTTGTGAGATTTTGAATTAGATTTTTGTTTATGAAATCTAGCAAAGCTAAAAAAATAATAATCAATATCAATTGCAAATAAATTAAATATCTCGTGATTTGTTTTGAATTTTTTTATATCTTAAATAAATAAGTCAGGATTTTTAAAATCTTAAAACATCCAAATTAAATACACAAAAACATCCATTTACATAAAAATGCAATTTAATAAAAAACCACATTTTTAACGATAGTTATAATAAATGTGTGTTTCCTTCTTTTCACCGTGACGAAGTATTGAAAAAATATAATAATAAAACAATATGATTATAGTAAATTGAAGCTACCACTGAAAAAGAAAAAGAAAAGATAGAAATTTTCGTAATTTGATCTCAAAATCACATTAATTTGGGATAATAATAATATTGTTTCATTCTCATTCCCTTATAAATACAACACAAAAACTCACTACACAATTTCAAACACAACAAAAAATCACAGAAATGAATATGGTACTGTTGAATACAGTAGTTGTTGTGTTGGGGCTGGTCATGAAACTAACTCCATCCCAAGCAATCAACGAGAAAGAAACGGTCGTGCTGAAGAATGACACCCCAGGCGAATATGTGACTGTCCATGCTTACTCCTCGGAGGACGACCTGGCCGTGCACGAACTCCCCTATGGTGCAAATTTCACTTTTCACTTCCGCATAAATATTTTGTCAACCACCCAATTCATGTGCGATTTCACCACCTCGCACGGCTCTGGGAACTATGCTGTTTTCAATACCAGGCTGGGATATAAATGCCATGGCTACTGCTTGTGGTCCATCGGGGCCAGTGGACCCTGCTTGCTGCAGGTCGACAACCAATGGTACTGCCAAACCTGGAAAAACCCTCCATCTCATAAGATGAGAGAAAAGCTCAACAAGTTGTAATTATATATGTTTAAGATACATCCAAATATATGCAAACCATTGATGGGTTTCTTAATTTTATTTTTAGAATTTTTGTATAAAATTTGGAACCAACTTATATGCGAATTTACAAGGTTTTCCAATTTCTGAAAGCATACATTAATTGATATGCCTTTTCTAAAAGAAAAAAAATACATAACAACAATTCAATCGAATTAAATACGACACTAACTTTTATTCATTTACCTTGAGTAAGCTGTAAATTATTTAAAAATACATTTTTTCTCGTACAATAATCTCCGAAATCTTTTAAAATTTACAACAAAATTTAAGTTACTTATTCTTTTTAAACACTACATAACAACATTTAAATTTAGTTAAATCATCAATTACATAATTTGTATGATATTATTAAGATGATAACAATACTTCCCCACAAAATTTGTGCATAATTATCACCTAAAAAATAATATCCCGACAACCATTGGAACGAATCCACAATAATAAAATTTTTGGAAAGTTATATTTCCTACTATAAGAGAGGCAATCAAATCGATTTGTTTTATTATTATCACAATATATTAATTCAACCCGCACATTTCAAAGCCAAATCATACAAATTTGTGGTTAAAATTACCACCCAAAAAAATCGAATAATTATCATCACAACCTTCCAAAATTCGGATAAATAGAAGTCCAACATATGAAGAATTGTATTACATTCCCTTCATATATGGTCATGATCGAAAACAAAGCCCATAAATTCATGTGGACCAAGAAGAAATTGAAAACCGTATAATAGTTACATCCATCAACTTATCTATATATATCTTCTACATCTATCTATATATGAAAAATAAGAATAAGAATTAAATTAATTATAGTAATATTTGTTCGCCATTTTGCATTAATCACCTCATAAATATGATATTTTTAGACAATTCAGGATAACAAATATCAAAACATTAATTGTGGTCAGTTTATAGAATCAATTGTGTAGTGCCCCATTTGATTTATAGAATTTCCCGAATTTATTCTATTTTCGGCATTTTATTTTATTTTTCTATGCTTATAATTTTAATTGCTTGCTCTGAATTTATATTGTTATTGTGCTCGTTTTATTATATATGTAACAATAAATTTCTTGTATTGAATTTAAAAACACGAAAAAAATTATTCAAATAAATTTCTCGAATCAAAATAATATAGCGGGTTACAATCTCTATTTTCTCCTCTGATTCTTCTCACGAAAAATTTTAAGTCTTGGAACAAAATCTTCGGCTTGATCTTCTCCTTGACTTGATTTGACTTGAATTAGTGTTATTCCGAGGGCTTGAGAGCTTTTTCCTGGATCAAACGTCGTAATATCCCAAGAACGCGAAGAACACGAATTGTTGGTCTTCGCCGCAAAGTAGATCTTGAATCTTCTCTACGCCAGTTTTTTGAATTTACTAACGTTATTCGGAGGCTTCGCAGCTTGTTTCCGGATTGAACGCCAGTCTTGAGGTTGAACGCGCTTGAATCTTGCTTTGAATCTTCAAGAACGCCTTTGAATCTTTAAGAACACTTGAATCTCATCGAGAGAGTCTTTAGAGAACTTTGATGAGTCAAAATGATCGACTCACTGAGGTTGTGGGTCAAACCGCCTCATCTCGATTGCTTGAGAGTTCGGACATCTCGATCGCCTTCGTCTTCAAGAACCAGATCGACCTGCAAAGTGCCGGGGCTGGGCCCCGACGTAGACACTCCGATGCTCAAGTCAGAAAACGGATATGTTGATAGTGTATTCATTAAATAATCTTAAGAGCTTAGGCTTAGTAAAATGAACCCGGTCCCTTATTTATAAAGGGGTTAATGACTTACTCCCCAAGATAATAAGTTTCCTCAATAAATCAGAATTCTGATGTTCCTCAATAACTGTGTAGATATACACCAACTTTCATGATTATCTTTAACTAATATCGTGTATCTCATAAATTAGGCTTCAACCTCCCTTGGACCAGCCTTATCCGAGCTAACCGGTCAGGCTGATCTACCGAGTTAATTCTAGTGCTACATCATCTAGCCCCCTCACTTTAGCGATGTGATGAATATATGACACGTATAAGAGTAAAACAATCATGTCCCGCCCACGGCTATCTCACAGGATTATGGCGTCAGGGTCCTGGCCTTGTTTAGGCCCCCACAGTTTACCACGTCAGATTTCTACAGCCTTTTGCATGCAACTATGGCTCTCGGGCCAACATTGCACTTTCCTTGACTTTGTGGCCCACGAGCATCCTACTCGATGTTCTGTCACCTTAAAACGTTGGACAATTGTGCTATCTGCTCGAGTTGTAACGATGACTCCTGTATTTACGTCCTCCAAGAGGTGAGGTCCCTTTATACGTAAGCTCTCTAAGAAGGTGAGTATCGAGGCAGAGCTAAAGGTAGGATATTCACTAACACGTTACATCATCCAGCTCATTGAAAACGCACACAGGCTCTTAGAGAATTGGTTATAGGTCTGGAAACCTACTCCCGAATGTTGTGAGCTTTGCATATCGCTAGTTCGTGCTTCTCACCCTTTATATTGGCTACAAGTTGGGAATCCTGCCCCGAGCTCAGTGAGACGGGTACATCCACTGCGGGCTATTCTCCCGAGCTACACGAGCCTGGGCACCCCTACTACGGGCTAATTCCCATTGATCCAGCTACAAGTCAAAGGACCCGCTACCGAGCTCCGTGAACTCGGCAATGCCAAGACAGGCTTTTGCCCTAAATTTTTCTACGAGTCTGAGGACCCACTGCCAAGCTCTGCGAACTCAGACAACACCGCGACAGGCTTTAGCCCTAAAATTGGATACGAGTTTGAGGACCCACTGCCGAGCTATGCAAAATCGGACAACACCGCGACAAGCTTTAGCCCCAAAATTTGCTACGAGTCCGAGGACCCACGACTGAGCTTACAAACGTAACGATATTATCGAGCTTATAAAAACAACGACTACCCTGCCCTAATGCGGCGTCGAGTTTAACTTCATGTCGGGCTAGGATAAGCTCAATAATCGTTCAGATTGGTCACCTGTCGAGCCTCTCGAGCTTGAGTGGATGACTCAACAGGCTTTTGCCCTATCTCGACCACCACCGAGCTCCGCGAGCTCGAGCAACTTCTCCAACAGGCTTTTGCCCTATCTCGATCGCCACCGAGCTCCAAGAGCTCGAGCAACGTCTTCAACAAGCTTTCGACCTATCTCGATCACCGCCGAGCTCCGCGAGCTCGAACGACATCTTCAACAGTCTATCGACCTATATCAATCACTGCCGAGCTCCACGAGCTCGAACAATATCTTCAATAAGCTTTCGCCTTATCTCGATCATCGCTGAGCTCTGCGAGCTTGAACAATATCTTCAACAGGATTTCACCCTATCTCGATCACCGTCGAGCTCCGCGAGCTCGAACAATATCTTTAATAGGCTTTCGTCGTATCTCGATCACCACCGAGCGACGACTTCAACAGGCTTTCGCCATATCTCGACAACCGGCCGAGCTCCGCGAGCTCGGGCACTGCCGAGCGATCTCTCGGAACACACATCTAGGCTACGAGTACGAGGACTCGCTCCAGAGCTCTACGAGCTCGGGCAACGCCACAACGATCTTTCCGAACACGCATCCAGGCTACAAGTACGAGCACTCGCTCCCGAGCTCAGACACCGCCGCAACGATCTCTCAGAACACGCATCTAGGCTACGAGTACAAGGAATCGTTCCTGAGAACCGCAAGCTCGGGCAACACTGCAACGATCTTTCCGAACACGCATCTAGGCTACAAGTACGAGGACTCGCTCCCGAGCTCGGGCACCACCGCAGCGATCTCTCGGAACACGCATCTAGGCTACGAGTACGAGGACTCGCTCCCAAGCTCCAGGACCTCGGCCAACGTCGCAGCGATCTTTTTGAACACGCATCTAGGCTACAAGTACGAGGACTCACTCCCAAGCTCCGCAAACTCGGGTACCGCCGCAACAAGCTCTCCATGCTCTTTGGTGCACCATTGCTCTAGGCCAAACCTACACTTATCTTAGCTTCACAAAACCACATTTCCAAAGATATGGAAACAATCGATATTTCTTCACAAGCAATAAACTAAATAAATTTATCATGACATGTGAACGTGATCATTAGATAGTGTAAAGACTAGCTTATGTACTTGGAGCCGAAAAGATCACCGATCTTTTTAAGAAAACTACCGGGGTGAGGAATATATCATGGAACCAATCCACATAAATAACCGGGCCTCGAAGCATTGTTGGATTCTCCGACCTCATCCCGAATCAAAGTGGAGCTCAAAAGGATACTCCCAACTTCTCGCTATAAAATATCAAAGCTTTCGCCAGGCTCTCCCGATACCTCAGCAATCAGTCATACCCTTCCATCATCACTTTGGAAATAATTGTGGTGCGGAACACCATACCGTCTTCCCATTCTTTCTTTGAAAAATAATAGAGTTCGCAACGACTCCTCAAATTTTCCCGACCTCTTATCGCTAAGCCTTGGAGTTGGAACTTAAAATAACTCACCGGGTCACCCCAACCCCTTTACGTAAATAATTGGGCTTTACATTATCTCACTAGGTTGTCCCGACCTATCGCTGTAAAAAATGTTAAAATTTGAGGTGACTTCTCGGATCCTTTCTCTCTCTCGTTGTATAAATTCTTGGGCTTCAAGTTTCTCGTCCTCGCAACCAAGAAAAACTTGTACGTACTCTTTCTTCTCTAGTGGTTGACCTCTTCTGCTAGAAACCAATCGCACTCCACTTTCTCAAATAGGCCCAGTAGCTGTAAACTCAGGCCCAATTCTTGAGATCTTTTCCCCAATCAGAAATCACGAAAGCATGGTCATCCACTAGAAACCAATCGCACTCCCCTTCACTGCTTCTGCTTAAAGATTTTTATCCATTTCTCCAACAAACACAACTATGAGCGGCATCAACCGACGGGCTCTGCTCGTGAGTGGCAGACGATTATCTAAGTGTTGCCCGC